CAAGGCTCCTTGATTAAAAATTAGTGTTTTTAACACAGCCACTCTAGATTGAAATTTAAAATACAATTTTATGTTAAACGAAAATGTAAAAACTTGACATATGATATGTCAATCTATTCAGAGTGTCATCTTCTATCGAATAAAGTAAAAAAACCCGAGGGTGCCATTTAAAAATCAAAAGTTGTAGTCATTTCCGATAAACAGGAAGTGGCCGAAAATAATTGAATACGTCAGTCAATTCTAATTTTTGTCATATAATAACATGCCTGAAAAGATACAAAAGTTATAGGGGTGAGCCACTTTTGAGAAACACCCGGTATATTTGCTACACAACATGGTCCAGAATTCATCTTATAACAGAATAATGCCAGGCCTCATACTGTTAGAGTAGTTACTCATTACTTTCAAGACTACAATACCTATCATAATAATTATGGCTTGGCCTGCGGATCTTAGTGTCCTGATGACAATCTGAGCACCTTTGGGGCCTAATAAAGAGAAGACTAGAAAGTAGACCATAAACACCAAACTTTGGCAGAAAATTTTCGTGTGAGTGGAACGCTTTTTCTCAAGAGATTATTCGGAACCTATTCAGTCTATGCCAAATCGATGTGCAGAAGTGGACAGAAACCGCAGAGGACACACACACTATTAAGAAAAAAAACCAAGATGCATATACATTAAATTCAAAATGTATGCTTAATATTGTTAAATTTATGTGTTAAAATATATTTTCTTTGTTTAAATGAAATTCATCAAAGTGATCCTTAATTCGTTTTCACTAGTTTATAATGCACACATGTCAGAACAATGTCAGCACCTGCCTTATTTCTATTCAAGCTCTGATTGACATAATCGTTGGACTGAATAATGCATAAACAGCAGAGAGGTAGTCGAAAAAGGACAAATCTGAATACGGTGAATGGAAGCGGAATAATAATTTGTGCGGCACTTGTTCGCCGGGTCTTTAAACTGGAATTATATTGTTGGGTGTCTTCGGGCAGTTTTCATAAGGGATTTATGCCTTTCTTTGATATTTAATAAAACTTCTTCCTTTGTCGTAATACAGCTTTTGTTTTTGTTTTAGATACGATGGTATTTCGTTTTAATCTTTTGAGTGCTTCCAGCCATGGCCGTAGATAATTAAACCCGACTAGTAAAACTGAATAGCATATTAAGAATTTTATGTTTGTAGTTTGAAAATGGCCTCTGTAATTTAAGCAATGAGAAGAATTTAGTGGAGCAAATATACCATTTATAGAAATTAAAATATAGCTCCTTAGAAAAAATAAAAATCTTTTTGTAAACTTATTTCATTATTTTGGTGCACACGGATTGAACAAACTTTCTACGGCTGGCTTTTGAACGGCTGTCTACATATTGAATTAACTTTTTTCTGTAACTATATTTCATGTTTACAGGTTGTAACGTTATTAAAATCCGTTTTAATACTATTTTTAATATGATCTAAGGTATTTTATATGTGATTGCAAGCGTTCTCCTGATCCAACCCTAGTCTAGTTTGGAACATCTAGTTATACTTCAGAAAATAAAGAAAATAAACAGATATATACAATGTGTTTCAAAAAACATGTGCCATCTCTCGTCGGAAGGTTTCGTCACGTAAAAATAAGATTTATTTTTCATATCAACATAGATCCGATTCTGCTTTGTTTCGTAGCTACAGGGTGTTAAGTCTTAATAATCTTTCGATTTATTATAATTTTCTTCCAAGTACTTTTAGTGATTCGAATGAAATTTTGAGGGTGAAAGTTACTATTAGCTGCATATTTTCATGTTAAAAAAGTGTCAATAAATTCATCAGGAACGTGCATATGGGTAACACTGGACTATTTTTCAAAAATAAAACATGTGCGCCACTGACTTTTTTCTTTTGATTTTGATCAAAATTGTGTAGGTCGTTTAATATCAATTAAAAGTTATCTCTTGGTATTTTGTCGAATTCGGCTTCCTTGATGAGATAAACGCAGTTTTATTAATCACAATTAATAAAATTAAAAAAAAATAATAATTATATATTTTAACTAATTTATTTTTAAATATTATTACTATTAGTTATTATTACTATTAGCCCAACCTACTGCAATTTCAAATAGAAAAATAATGGTATTTAAGATAATTACAAAAAAACTAATTTTAAAAAGTTTTAACATCCTGTAACTCTAAAACTATGCATTTTCATACTCATGTTTATAAGAACTTTTTTTTCATATTTTTTGATAAAGAATCAATGAGTACTTATTTAAAACTTTCGCAAGTTAAAGATATTTTCACATATTTTAAAGGTTGCTATTAGAGTTGATGAGAAATACTCTTAGATTAAGGAAATACTGTATCGATTTAAAAAATACTAGGGTACCAAATAGTACTAGGTAGTTCAGTTGGCCAGGCGCGTATTCGGAGCCGAGCCGACATGACAGTCCCAGTCCATACCGTGCAAGTTTAGAATTGATACGAATACGGACTGGAAAACGCGTACGGCGGTAACAGGTATCAGCGAATTTAGTCGATAGATTTAAGAAATGCTATAGGTTTGTTCCAACCCACCGCAGAACCGTCACCGAGCGATCACGCTCGTGCGCAGTAATTCAAATGCGTTCCAACCGAGATTTGACGGTTATCGAACGATCCTATTTGCGTACCAACCTACCTTGGGATCGTTTAGTTACGATTTCAGAATGGTAATTTCGGTACATGGTCCAAATTGAGACTGTTTGGGTTGACTTGTGCATTAAAGCATATTGGCAGGGATTATCGATTTTTAACAGCCGATTCTGTACGATTTCGGAACGATCCCGAAATGCTGGTTGGAACCAAGGTTACTATATTATAACAGGTTGCCTCATAACTTTTGGACCAATAGGAGCGACGCGGAATAGCATCCCTCTGACGGTAACAGAACGTATAAAATCATAGATAAAAGGAATAAAAAATAAAATGCAACGGACAAAGAGAGATAAATGGTCAATGTAATAAAGAAAACAAACATCAAACAACTAAAAACTATGGCCGCCGTACTCCATATACATAATGAATATCGATTCGGAAATGCACCGTCGGACTGTCGGATGACGGATCGAGTTACGAGACAACCTTATCTTTTAATAACCTTGGGTTGGAACAAACCTTATGTTACTAAATACTAGGCAGTTCGGGTAGCAAGGTGCGTACACCGCGTCTCTAGGAACTAGGAACCCAGACATATGGAACTGTTCCAAAAAATAATAAATACTGATAAGATATTGATCGTTATTACTATATTACTACAGGGCTACGGCCAGAATATATAATAAATATTCTTCTTCTTCTTCTGGTTCCATCTCCTAATGGAGGTTGGAAATCATCATGGCAATTCTAACTTTATTAACGGCTGCTCTGAATAACTGGTTTGAAGTCATTCCAAACCATTCTCTCAAATTCTTGAGCCATGATGTTCTTCATCTTCCTTGGCTCCTTCTGAGCTTTATCTTTCCTTCTATTATGTTCTGCAGCAGAGCATATTTCGGTCCTCTCATTGTGTCCAAAGGACTCAAGTTTTTTTCTTTTTAAGGGTTTTTGTTTATTTTTATTTTGTTTTTTTGATATGATAAATAAATCCTATTTTTACGTGAGGAATCTCACCACGAGAGATGGCACATGTTTTCTGAAACCCCCTGTATAAACACAATAATACAGAAAATAAACTGGTAATATATCCATTTGAATAAATATAAAGCAAGTTGGTAACCGGCAGTTATTTAAAAAAAAACTGTATCCCTGTATGTATAAGTTTGTCATAAAAAAAGCTTAGCTAAAATCGACAACTACATGCGTTCTTTTCAAAAAACAATCTTAATTTTAAATTAGGTTCATTTCAGAGCTTAAAAAAACTTAACCAAAGCCTTTACCGTTGAAAATTTAAAAATGTAAAAAATATGAATTAGGTAATTAGAAACATAAAAATTATGAAATAATTAAAATAATAGATTTTTAATGTAGAACTTGGATATTGGAAAAGCCATATATTAATTAATGAATAAGCTTTGCATTACTAAATCGGTCTATCTTATTAGATAGCACACATTGGATTTTAAATTGTATTTATGTATTGTATTTATGTGCTGTGTGAAAATTTTAAAAGGTTCTAAAACAAAAAAAAATATATTTACCAAATAACGAATTTATTGCAAAATTACTATAAAAAAAACAATTTCAATTATACAAAAATAAAAATATACTCAATAAAAAATAAACTAACTAATTTTAATTTAAAACAATTCAGCGATGAGATCAATTTATGCATATTTAAAAAAAAGTATTAAATAAGTATCACAGATAAATATCACAGATAAATACAATTAAGACTTTTTTAGCATTTTCCAAATTACAAAAATATAAATAAAGTTCCAAATATCCCTACTGTCAAATTTTATCTATAGGTGTGTGACCATGACACTTTGCATGAGATAATTTAAAATAAAAATAAAAATAAAAATAGATATTGGCTAAAAAATACAAGCATAAACTTAATAAATACCATTCAAACTACCTTCAAGGCCACACACGCACTAAATATAATTCAACTTCACTGATCATCAAAATAATATCAATATACAACCGAAAAATTAAACAAACAAAATAAAATGTTAAATTAGTGATATTACATTAGATAGTATTCCAACACTTGGTATTAAAGTAATTAAAACAGCGGTGTAACGGATATTTAAAATTATTAAGAGGCATGTAAACAAAAACACAATGCTGCAAAAGTGAATATTACTGGATTTAGTACATATTCCTCGTAATTTCAATATTTCTCATGCTCTGACAAATTAGACACCATAATTAGCTGTTAATATCGGCGTATATTAAGTGAAGAGAAGATTGCTATTTTATGGCTTACTGATCACACTTATTTATATCATACGATATTATTTGTTAAGCTAAATTAACGCAAAATCGCATATTTACTATAATTTACTCAGTATAAAAAAGGATATTCAACCATCGCTTGCACACCATTCTTCTTGAATATCACTATTCTAAGTACTTGACCACTGGACTGACATATTGTATGTAACACATCCTGAAACAAAAGAAAAATAAATGTAAATATGTAATAAAAACAACACGTTAATAAAATTATAAGTAAGAGTGATACTAATACGCAAAATCCCAAAAGATATGGAAAAACTAGACAAATGTAAAAAAAGTCGTAACGAAACAAGTAAAAGTCAACTGTAGTAACAGGTCCCAGAAAATAAAATTCAATAACCTTGCCATTACCTAAGAACGGATAACTATATGTCCGATATTACGTTATTAATAAAAATATTTGTCATTGAAACAAATTTACTTCCACAAATACAAAATATCCTTATTTTAAATCAATCAGCCTTTGGTGTCGAATGCATGCAATTTCTAATATCTTTCTAAAAAAATATCGCCTATTATTTATATAAATATCTAGTTTTTTAGTTGAGATACAACACATATTTAGTTATTAAAGATTTTTTTAAAGAAAATCAAAATATGGTATGTACTTCGTTCATTTTATAAACAACTAATAATGATTAATAATTGCACAATTGTTTTGTAATTACTGTATGTCTCTTTATGTTAGTGTCACAACAAAATATTAAAGTCTATAGTAATGGACATGTAAATGTGATTAAAATAGCAAAATGTAATTATATAGAAATAATAAACATACAAACAATAATTATGTTGTATAAAACATCAAGTTGTAACTATATCAGTACATAAAAAATCGAAAAGGCAACGGCCCAGCTACGTCGAAACACCGGTTCCCATTAGAACACCGAAGTTAAGCGACGTAAGGCGATACTGGTGGATGGACGGGTGACCGGTTCGGAACTCTGTATCCGTGCGGTTGTTCAAGGGAAAAGTGTAAAATCTTGTGACGCACTGCTCATTCACGCCGGTGCGAGGCCGGATGAGATCGGATATCTCGTAAGTAAGGGTTGATTTAGACACTTCCTAAGTCGATAGGCCTTTGACCATGATATGGCCGAGGACCGCGGTTCGGATTCCGCGTAAACAAAGTAGGCCCCGTCCAGATTAGCCCTGGCAGCAACAAGGAGACGTTAACTGAAATCTTTACTTTACTTTTACATAAAAAAATCACGTCAGTTTTATATGATATACATAATGTACTGTCAAGTGGCGGATACTGAGGGGGGCACCCATGGGGCCCGCCCCCCCTGAAATTTGTAAGTTGGGTTAAATATTAGGCTTTCCGGTTAAAAATGGCGCACTAAAAGCACATTCTACATTACGTTTTATTTTGGGCCCCACCTAAAATAAATTTCTGTATCCGCCCCTGGTACTGTCTTATTACTATCAAGTAAAATAAATTTTTCTTCAATCGCCTATCATTACGTCAGAATTGTGAATCCAAAGTACTCATTTAAGGCTGAGTCGACATAGGTACTCAAACTATTTTTATTTAATTAAAAATAGTCGGCTAATGAACTGTCGGCTGCAGGATTCGAACCCACAACCTTTAGGTTGGTAGACGAGAACTGTACCAGGTAACCGGGCACTATTATTATATTGACACCGGAAGAATTCATACCGCAAGAAAAACGTTATTATTATTATTTTTTTAACATTCACATTCGACTTCAATTCTACTTTATTCATAAAATTTCTTGATAATATTATATTATGATTCAGAGAGCGTATAAAATTTTGATTTTGATTTTTTTCGAACATTCTCTACTCGTAATTGTCTCAATTTTCTTTTTCTGAAAATCTTTTCCATAATATTCACAAACAGCGAGGTTGTTCTACAGAGAATAAATATTTACTAATGCAAGGAAAACTTTCCAATTTTCTTTCGATACAAACCTTATTTAGTCTATAAGAATATTTTAATAAAATATCCAAACCAATATCAAAATATGCGCAACTATGTAATACGATTACCACCGGTAAGCCCCTAGAACTTTTAAATTTTAGATAGTATTTTGATTTCATATTCATTGCCCAGAACCAAAACAAAATGTAACTATTCTTTTGAAAATTTACGTTAAAGATCATCTGTAACCGATGCTTCATACAGATGACACACTTTTCTCATAAACTTTTAAAAATCACCTATTTCCGCCTGCTGTACTAACAACCAGCAAGCAAGCCAGCTGACTTATTGGCTATAAATATGAGCTGAGTTCGTAATTCCGTCAGCAGAATCAGAGAATATGTAGTTTAAGATAATTCATGCCAATTTACATTATTTGTATTCGAACCCGTATCAAAATCATCATTTGCGTGTGTTGCATATCCTATAATGACCTATACAGGGTGAGTCTTAAATAAGTGCAAATATTTTCAGGGGTGGTATATTTCGACCCCAGGAACACGTCTATGAGTTTTTTTCGCAAAAAAAATATTGAAAATCGTGCATTTTCTTTTAAATTTTCCTGTATATTTTTCGAAAACTTTTTAGAACTGCCTGTTCACCGCAAATTTTGCCACGGCATAATTTCTTAATCTCAGATATTACCATAGTTACAGCTTTACTCTATGGTTACGGCACTAAACGGGATGCAAATACAGAAAAAATCCGGTGGCTCTCAAAATTTTTCCAAAAAAAAATCTTTTTTTTTTTAATTTTCAAACTTAAATAACTCGGTTATTTTGGACCTACTTGAAAAATGGTAAAGAGAAATTATTTTTCTTTTATGGAGATCTACCAGCCCTGAAAATATTTGCACTTTTGTAAGACTCACGCTGTATACAAACTGTACGAATATTTACTAAACGATCAATTTGAAATTATGTAGTTTGTTGACACGAATCTACGTACTGTGCATCCGACAAGACGATGTGCATCCGACAATCCTGTGCATCCAATCCTGTGCATCCGACAAGACGATTATAATTTCTCAACTCCCAAAAATGACAGAATAACCAATCTATTTTTGAATTAAATCAACCAGACAATTCTGTCTCTGTTAACATATACCATACGGTCGAAAAAAAATGTCGTCAAAGACAGCTGGAAAATGACAATCGATGATAACAACTGATCCAAAATAATCGACGAGTGGAAGGGTGGTTAACCACCGCGACCTTAAAAATCTATTGTGTCCAAGACCTCCCCAAAATTATTATCGATTGTTATTCCTCAGCCGTCATTGACGCAGTTTTTTCTCGATCATACTTTCAGTACTTTACGGACAAATTATTGAAACATATAAGAACACAAAATTGAAAAAGAATCTTGAAAACCAGACCTGATAAAAACAAGATAGGAAAATCAGTCTTATCAAAACGTCAACGGTCAAACTTAAGTGTCTCCAAAGAATCGTTCTCATATTATAATTAGATATCGATATTTTAAGAATTTGTTCTTTTCATTTTTTTTTTTGGACGACGTAGATATACCACTTAAAACGTTAGAGTTTTTACTGGTTAGTAAAATTAAAAATCATGGAGAAGTTTGGTTTGATTTTGTGTCCGTAGATTACAAACTAGTTATAATTGGCAAAAATAAAAAAACTATTTTTTCGGACTTTGGCATTTTTTCTCGGACTTTGGCATTTTTTTTTCCAATCCTTTCCAAATCCAATTAACGTCACGCCGTTAGGTAGATCTATATTTAGCAGGCTGTCATACAATATATTCCACAATGTTGGCCCTAACACTGATCCTTGGGGTACACCACTAGTAACACTAATAGCTTTTGCGGTCTCTTCAGCTTCCATAATTATTCTTCTATCTGTTAAGTAAGACGCAATAATGGTAATCAAGTTGATATTAATTTCTTTTTCGATAAGTCTGTTTAGAATTAATGGTCTAGATGCGCTATTAAAGGCAGTTCTCACGTCCAACGTGATGACTCCACAAAGCTTTCGGTTTCGTGGGGCATAATCTACTGCTTCTTTGGCAATTTTCATTACCTGCATAATAGCGTCTACGGTTTGCCTTCCTTTTCTGAAGCCAAATTGGTTTATTGACAGTCCACCCGTTCTGTCAAGCTCTTGGTTTAGTTTTGCAAGTATCATCTGTTCGTAGAGCTTTCCTTCACACGAGACCTATTTTACGTTAGAAATGACAAAGATTTTTTTTCCTCAGTAGTATGATACAAGTATGGAGGAAAAGAGTTATTCAAAACAATTAAAAAATATCTAGGTAGCGCCCCTACAAGTGGGAATCGAAATCGAATTTCTTATGTCAAACACAAACATGTCACCCCGTATCACTAAAAAGAAGCATTTTAGGACGACATGAATAGTGATTGGTTTATTGTTGACAATTAGCATAAACCACATATTCGCTGACAGTATTTCGGAGAAACATTTCTTTATTATTTTTTATTTAATAAATTATATAAGGAGAAGGTGTAAGTGTTCAAAAATATCATCATTTCTTTTTAATTATTACCTATAAAAAATGAGATACAAATAAAAAACGCGAAAAAAAATACAAAACCGCAAGAGTCTTGTCCACGAGTGGTCTTGCAGATCTAAAGCTAGTCTTGGTCTTGCTTTTTGTGCAAAACCAAGACCAAGACAACACGACATGAATATATACGTACTTTTTTAATTCGGACCACCCTGTATAATACCTCACATATTATGACATGTACAATTTTAATAAAAAAATCTTAAAAGCAAAACAAACATATCTTCACAGAATAAAGTTTTAAAAATCCGGCACACGTACCATAATATACAATACTACTTATTATGTATGAGTACTGAATATTTTATTATCAATAGAAGATATAAATAAAACATCCTCCATTATCAACTTTGCGACTACGAAGAACATAATAATAAATATATTGTTAAGATTCAATGATAAAACGATTAAATAAAAATTGATTGAAGTTATCGTATGTAATTACAATCAATAATATATATACAGGGCGAGTCTTAAATAAGTGCAAATATTTTTAGGGGTAGTATATTTCGACCCCAGAAATACGATAAAGAGTTTTTTTGCCCAAAAAAAAATTGAAAATTCGAAATTTTTTGGAAATATTTTTAGTTTTTAGTTAAAAACAAAATTTATTGATAATATGGCAACATAGGTAGGTTAAATTTACAAGAAAGA